AGGGCCTGGGTGCTGGCTTTAGATGAGATTTGGCAAATTCCTGGGGCTCGGGCTGGGGTTCAGGCTGCCGGCTCCCCCACTGATGGGGACGGGGCTCAGGCTGCCAGCCCCTACTGCCTGGCCGCTCTCCCTGGGGCTAGGGTTGCCAGCCCCCCACAGAGCACTGGGGATCAGGCTGCCAGCCCCAACTGCCCGGCTCCACTCTCCCTGGAGCTTGGGGTTTCTGCCCTGCAACCAGGTCCCACCTGCTGTCTCCAATGCCCAGGGTCCTCTGTCCACCATTAGTGAAATTTTTCTGGTCGAACCTCCTGTAACGTTCTGCGAACCCCCAGGGGTTCATGAACCCCAGTTTGGGAACCACTGTCGTAGATGAACCCAGGACATCTTTTGGGGTGGCGGGAGCCCTCTTTTCTAGGACTGGGCAAAGAAAAGTACAAGAGTTTCATCAGAAACATGCGTGAACCTGGGTCACATTTACCTGGGAGGAGGCAGAGCGGTTTCGTGAGCAAATCTCACCATGCTCGCATGGAAATTTTGAAAAAGTTGCTGAATGGGAGGAGCTGGTATCTCCAGAATCCACATTGTCTAGTCATGGGATTAAGCCCAGGACAGGAAGCTGGAAGACCCCGAGTTTTATCCCCACCTCTGCCGCCGACTAGCCTTCTACAGCACTTGACAAATATTTCCTTGCGTCCCACAGCCGCATCTCCATTTTACAGACAGGGTCCCAGACTGAGGGGCGCTGGAATAATTTGTATAGTGGGGGGTGCTGAGAGCCATTGAATCACGCTGTAACCCATGTATATGATGGAAACCACTTCAAGCCAGGGGGTGAGGCAGCTCCCCCTGCCCCCCCTAGTTCCGCGCCTACACCCAGACTGAATGACCAGTCTAAGAGGAGCAGAGTTGATGTAGCTGTGTCAGTCCCAGGATACGAGAGACGAGGTGGGTGAGATAACATCGTTCATCGGAACAACTTCTGTTGGGGAGAGAGAGACGCTTCTGAGCTCCATAGAGCTCTGCTTCAGATCGGAGAGCGTCACAGTTAAATACCGGGTGGAACAGATTTATTTAGCGGTGAGTACCTGTCCCAGCCCTGAAGAAGAGTTCTGTGTGGCTCGAAAGCTCGTCTCTCTCCACAACCGAAGTCAGTCCAGTAAAAGTTATACCCTCCCCTACCTTGTCAGTCTAAGTTGACACAGAGGCGGGAGGAGAAGCTAGGCCCTAGGCCACTTTCCAGGCAAATGCCTAGATTCCCTGTGGGCTCGTATGCACCAGGCAGGGCTCTGCGACCTATGCCACAGCAGCCATCAAGGGAGCCCACACTGGACGCACTCATTCACTGTCACACTTGCCCCACAATGAGGTGCGGGTCACTGACAGAGCAGCTCCCAGCTCCCCCTCCCAACCTAACAGGAGCATGGAGGAGCCAAGGGAGAGGAGCGGGTAGCTGAGGTGCAGCCAGCCGCTGATACTCTCACCCCGTGGTCACCAGTGAAGCCTCTCCTCTCGCTGTGAGACTTCTCGCCAAGCCCCCAGAGTGCCCCAGTGAGGCACAACCGGAGCCCTGAGCTCCCCTGCAAAGTGTCCACCTCCGTGTCCACCTCCCTGCCCCCCATGCCTTTTACCTGCAAACGATTGGCTCCAGGTCTCTCAAGGACCCACGAGACATAGGGACGACTCTGAGAGACGCTCGTGTACCAGATCGGCAACACCACCCTCTGCCCTTGGATCGTAGAGATAGAGGCTTGTCCCACGTTGACTTCCAGCAGCGCTGAAGAGAGACCTGCAGAGAGAGAGAGAGAGAAATTCAGTCCTATGGGTGCATCCTGACTCCCAGGAACCAGCCCTACTACAGACAGAGGGCAGCATCCAAAACTGAGCATCAAACCCCAGAGCCCCTCGGCACCCACTGAGATCCCAGGATCTGGCAGGGCACCAGGCAAAGAGCAGAGGACACTCCACAGCTGACAACTCTGAACACTCCGAACAACGTGAAACCGATACTGTAAACGACACCTCGCACGGCAATAGCACATGTAATCGGAGGCTCTCAAAGCCCAGTACCAACCATAGGCAGGCATCACTGGGGTGCCATGCTTAAAGGCGGCACGGAGTTTGTGCAGTATGAATCCTTTGTCAGGCTTGAAAACATGGGCGGCATGTAGGGTCTTGTGCCCCCCCAGATTTGCTGCTTGGCGTGTACGTGGACTGAGCATGCTCAGTAACACTGCTGAAGCCGGCTGCCCTCACTCCCTCCCCCACTATCGGCAGGCACAGGTCGTCTCCTACCCTCCCAGCACTTCCTCTCGGGATAACGATTTCATTGTCTGGAAAGTTACAAGCAAATCCATGCAGGAGTCTAGGAGCCGCACCTGAAATTTCAGAGCTGGAGCCCAACGTCATTTTGTGCCTCACTAATTTACAAACAGATTTTGTTTTTAAACACATGAAACTGTAGGCAGGTGACGCCTCTTAACAATAAACCCAAAACATAGTTTATGCACAGACTAGTTTTATAAAAACGATCAGAAACAAGGAAGCCGTGAGCATCGGTCATTATCTATCTTGTGTACGCCCATCACTATAGTAGTTGAGTGCCTCACAGTCATCA